ATATATATATATATATATATCTATATTTATTACTAAAAAAATTCAATTAGCTTATTAACAATTTGTTTAATTTTATTCAATACCATATCTTATTTCTAAATTACAAAAAATATCCGGTACTTAATATTTAACAGCGATGTAAATGTTTCAATGTAGGTGAGTGTGTCTATTCGAACATTAATATTGGGTGTATACACCTTTGCTTCCGCCGTTTTCCTATAGATGACTTTAGCGGTAAGTGGTGGTCGAAATAAATAGATCATAGACGTCACACAATAAACTTGGGCATCTGCTAACATAACCCCGTAGAAACATTAGTCGATTTGTGTCTGCATCATAAAGTTATTCTCGATTGAAAATGTCAGTTTACGAGCCAAATTCTTGTCATTTGCGGGAGGTTTTAATTTTTTGCTTCAATATGAAGAAATCTGCGGCTGAGGCTCATCGAATGCTCTCAAATACTTATGATGAGGCCGCTATTAGTGAAAGAACGTGTCGTGAGTGGTTTCAATGCTTCAAGAACGGTGATTTTGACGTCGAAGACCGGCATAGCAGTGGAAGAAAGAAGATTTTCGAAGATGCAGAATTGGAGGCATTACTTGAGCAAGACTTGTGTCAAAATCAAGAAGAATTGTCACGATCATTGGGAGTGACAACTTGGGGGACTCAACAAGCCATTTCAAAACGCCTCAAAGCCATGGGAATGATTCAGAAGCAAGGAAATTGGGTGCCGTACGAATTGAAGCCGAGAGATGTTGAACGGCGTTTGTTTGCTTGTGAACAGCTGCTTGAAAGGCAAAGACGGAAGGGATTTCTGCATCGCATTGTGACTGGGGACGAAAAATGGGTTCATTACGATAATCCCAGCGCAGAAAATCATGGGGAGTTCCCGGCCATGCTTCCACGTCGACGGCCAAACCGAATATTCATGGCTCCAAGATCATGCTCTGTATTTGGTGGGACCATCTCGGCGTAGTGTATTATGAACTGTTAAAACCGACTGAAACAATCACAGGCGATCGGTATCGAACGCAATTGATGCGTTTGAGCCGAGCATTGAAAGACAAACGGCCGCAATACAACGAGAGACACGATAAAGTGATTTCGCAGCATGACAATGCTCGACCCCATGTTGCGAAAGTGGTCAAGACATACTTGGAAACGTTAAAATGGGAAGTCCTACCCCACCCGCCGTATTCTCCAGACGTTGCTTCCTCTGACTATCACTTGTTTCAATCAATGGCACACGGCCTGGCTGACCAGCACTTCCGGTCCTATGAAGAAGTAAAAAATTGGATCGATTCGTGGATAGCCTCAAAAGATGACCAGTTTTTTCGACGCGGGATTCGTATGCTACCCGAAAGATTGGAGAAAATAGTAGCCAGCGATGGACAATACTTTGAATCATAAATGTATAATCAGTTTTTTACATAAAATCTCGAATTTCGGAAAAAAAACGGCGGAAGCAAAGTTGTACACCTAATACGTACCAAAAATTAAAAAAAAGGTTAAGGATAAGATGTGTGTGTGTGTGTGTGTGTGTGTCTGTGTGTGTGTGTGTGTATGTGTGTGTGTGTGTGTGTGTGTGTGTATTCAGGACTAAATTTTATTTATCTAATTTCGTTAATTGTATATAAAAAAGAGAGAGAGAAATTTAAAAAAGGCTATTGGAAAAAGATGAGAGAAATGGGGAAAGAAAACAGATATTAAGGGCCTGTGATGATTATCTGGTGATTATGCTTCTGACGCGATCGGAATCTGCGTTTTCAAGATCTATAGTAAAAGTATTTGGGGGAAAAGGTTCGATAGAAATTTGAAACTGAGAAAAGAGAGAAGTTAATGATTGGTAATTATCGTGGTTAAAATAGTAAGGACAGAGAGGGAGAACTTTATCTATAAGAATTCTACGCTTGATGTTGAATCAGCGGAAGAAGAGGGACGAGAAGAAGGAGTGTCAGGAAATATTCGATAGATTAACAAAGACAAGATTGATTTTGCAGAGGAAGGAGAGGGCTTTCGACTGGATGAATATCATTGTTGTTGTTATTATTATTATTATTATTATTATTATTATTATTATTATTATTATTATTATTATTAGCTCGATCTAATACTGTTATTAATACTGATGTTATTTTAATATTGATTAATATTGATGTTTAAATCGTTAGCGGATAATATCATTGCTATCATTGTTATTGTTGTTCGAGATATTATTTAAATTATAGAGATATGCTTGATAGAGGCTTCGCATAGGAGTCGATAGGCCTCTATCAGGTATTGAGTTCGTAGACATTTAGCCGCGCGGGAAAGGCGTGTACGTGGCCGATCACTCACTATGATTTTTGATGACGAA